CTATCACAAGTTATTTTGACCATTTTTGCTCCACCAGTTAAAATATTCCCAAACAAAGCCATAGCAGAATCAACCATTGCATGTCTCAGAGCACCACACATTAGAATGTTTCTGAATGAATCATTTACATAAATGATTCAAAGACTCTCTCATAAAAGTCACTTGGTTTAGTTCCTGAATTAATAATGTTTTTGAACAAATTGGTTGAGTGAATGATTCAGTGACTCATTTACAATAACAGTTGCTTGTTTCGTTCCTAAAAGAACAAAACAAAATGACTGACATTAACTGCATCAAGTTCAAGTTTCAAGTCAGATATACACTCAGTGGTTTGGTTGAAAAGGTTCTTACAGGTTGAGCTTAGAGGAGGAAACCGCAGATGGAGAGACGCCATTGATTTTGGCGACTCAGGCTGGGCTGGTGAAGATTGTTAGGACTCTGCTTGAGAATGGAGCTTCACCTAACAGAATCAACAGCAAAAATGACTCCCCTATATTATTGGGTAGGTATCATTTGCAATTTCTTTAGTGTCTTCAGTGCCTTTTTAATGAGCTCTTATGTTTTATTTTGGAGCTGTAAGAACAGACTCATTTGAAATCACCTTTACACTTATATCACAGGGGGCATCGGTTAAACAAGCCTGCCCTAAAAAGTGGACAGCCATTCATGAAGCAGCCAAGGTGGGCTGCACTGACATTCTTACGCTCCTGCTGCAAAATGGAGGAAATTACTTGGAGACAGACGAGCATGGAGTGACGCCCATGGGGATTGCTGCGGAGTACGGACAAGCAGAGGCGCTGGACATCCTTATTCACTATGGTAATACTGGTTGACCAATGTTTCTAGAAGAAAAAAAAATTAGTACAGATTCACATTATACATTTACATATTTACATTACACCAGTAAACTAACACTAAACCATGATGTCCTCCACACCAACAGGTGGCGATGTAAATGCTCAGACGCCAAATGGAGACAGTGTGCTATATGATGCTGCTGGCTCTGGCAATCCTGACTGCATTGAACTTTTACTTCAACATGGGGCCAATCCCAACATCACTAATCTTTCCTTACAGCTTCCCATCCACTGTGCAGCGTACAAGGGGCATTACCTGTAAGTTTAACGAAAAATGCTAATCTTTTGCTAGTTTCGTCACTCTAATCTCTTAACTAAAATTAAACTGGACTTTGGAATTGGAAACCGACTAGAGACAGCATTAGCCTTGCATGATTTGCCTGGACACAACAAATCTAATCAGAATTCACCACTAGAGGTTTTGAACAAACTCCTGATCTATGCATTGAATGTTGATGAATAACTCCTCCCCACCACTCTCCTTTTTTTTTACAGAAAATGTTAAAATTTAGTTGAGTGTGATCTCTTTTACAGCGCCTTAAGAATGTTAATCCCAATAACCACAAGGAGAGCCCTCCGTCTCTCAGGCCAGAGCCCAATTCATGCAGCTGCAGATGGAGGCCATGTCCGATGCACGGAGCTCCTGGTGGACGAAGGTTTTGATATCAATGCTCTTCTAGACACACGTTTCTGAAAAATATGGAGACATGCGAAAGACAGCTTTGTACTTTGCGGTCTCCAATGGAGATGTGACCGGCACGCAGTTGCTGTTAAATGCCGGAGCCAAAATGGATCTGGATCCCCTGCAGTGCTGCCTAGTGGCGGTGAGAGCTTGGAGGTACGAGATTGTCAGGATTCTCCTGGCCAGCCGAGCAGATGTGAACTGTTACTTCACAGAGGTCAACGACACAGTGTTTCCCACTGCCTTACAATACTGCTTGAGGGATGAGATGATGATGCGACTGCTGTTAAACAATGGTTATGATGCAGAAAAATGCTTCTGTTGTCCTCATGACTCAACATGGTGCCACTCCTCAGAACATACCAGTGAGAAGGTTCCAGTAAGTTCACCACTAATGTCTCTGTTCCAAAACCTAGTGTCACACCTGTGAATGAATGAATGAGTGCATACTATAGTGTTGTCAAAACAAATGCGTGGATGCACAACAAAACGACATCAAAACTCGAGTATGGCAAAATGCCTAAGCAGCAGCAGCGTCTAACTGCTATACCTTGTTTAAATACAGTGCCATGACGAGATTCAGGTGCGCTCGAGTCAAGCACTAGTCACCGATCGGACCTACAAAAACAAAAGAAAAAACAACCAGCACCACATCACAACAACTGGGTCTTAACACTAGTAAGTTGCCAACGTATGCACACTCCAGTTGTTTATTCCCAAATGTATAAAACCCAAGATGGCAAACAAAATGAGATTAGTTTTTTTTTATGTGTATATTCATTCAATACGTAAAAGTATCAATAAAAATGGTTTAATACAAGTAGAATGGACTATTTTACTCAATATTTGTATTTTTATGCTAAGCTTACTTTATGCTACTATTGCAGCATTAGCTTAGCAACATGATAATAGGAAACACTACTGAAATCAATCGTGAATAGAGTCTCCTGCACAATTTACATTAATTTCTATGTAGTGTTCCAAATTTTACTCAATGCGTATTTGTATTTTACTTCAGGTGCTGTAGCATTAGCTTAGCAGTATGCTATCAGCAAACTCTTAAAATCAATAGTGAGTTGATTAATCTGTACACTAGGAGCCCTAGTTGTATGACATAAGGAGTATCTTCCAACATAAGCAGTACAGAGCTGATATATTTTAAGCTAACTTACCTCTGAAGGAAATTTGTTTTCATCGGAATATGTGGCATATGTATCTATACTTCCATCTTCTGTTGCATTTAGTTTTGTGATTTCATCAGCGTCTCATGGCTAGTGCAGTTCTCTGGAAGAGCTGTGCGGGTTCTCCTCGACTATGTCAATCATGTTCCCATCTGCTCCAAGCTGAAAATGGTTCTAAAGAGGCATAAGGAGTGGGCTGAAATTTCAGAAATGCTGGGTGAGTTGCCTAAACAATTCTAGCATGGACACTTAAGCTCTACTCACAAAAATATGAATGTCACAGCATAAGATAAAGTATCACAAAAAATTTGACTTTCCCAGGGAATCCTTGTTCACTGCAACACCTATGCAGACTAGTAATCAGGAGAGAGATGACCCCACGAAGGCTGGGCAACCCAAAGTTCATAAACTCAGGTGGTTTCCCACCAGGACTTAAAAGCTACTTGATGTACAAAGAATATGATTTGTATGGAAGAATCGTGTATCAGGAGTGATGGTCTCTCAGGGTAAAAGTTAAAGGGGTCATATGATGCTATTTTAAAGATCATCATTTTGTGTATTTGGTGTAAGCACTTCGAGTTTTATTCAGAAATTAACATGAGGTTGACATGACCAGACGTTTCGCTAGTTGTCCATCATGAGTTCAAAATACTTCAAAATGTGAATGTTAAGTATTTTTAACACTTCACATTGAACACTAATGTGAATTTTGCATCACTTCCAAAGGACTTTGCCCCCAAAGCAATGTCTTGGTGCTATTTGTGCAATAAAATAATGTTCTAGCTGACAAAAACATGTTTATATCAGATGAAAATAAAAGGATTGATGCCTGTTCTATGAAGTCAGGCTGCTGTCCGCTCAGTACCACCTACTAGTGTACAATCAAGATGTTCCATTTGTTTTCATTTTAAGTTTTAATACAGCACTTTTACAACACATACTGTACACAAGTGTTGTTTAATGTGTTCATACATTGAACATGAGATTGGCTGTCACACCTCAGTGCTGCTAAACTGTGGTTCTATAATAACCTGCATTATCACAATTGAAGTAACTTAAACAGGTCATATTATAGCTTTATGCCCTATTAACATCAACAAGCATGTTCAGCAACCTGTCAAGTAGAAACCTTTGACTTCAGCATTATCACAAACTCACCACCTAACCTTGTGATAAACTGTCAGAAACATTAGACATATTTGTAGTTTACTGTATACTTATCTGTGCCTGTTCAAGTACATCTGATAATTTCATCTGATAGAGATGGTTATAGATGGGTAGCTTTTGAAAAATGTGAGCATATCATGACAGTGCAATGTTTGAGTCCTGTTAGTTAGGTTATACACATATTCAGTTAGCTTTGGATCATTGGTTCTGGAGGCCCTGAACTGTCAAGTTTTCATCACCATAACTGGTTCCTAATCAAAACGTTGTAATATTGCATGCTGATAACTTTTCAACAAACAGTGGATTTGAAAAGAATCTGGGAAAAGTACTTACTACACAAATATGTAATATTGATTCTAAAGCTCCAGAGGTGTTCTGGTATATGTACAACTGCTTTGGAGGACAAGCTGAGCATAAAAGGTAGCAGTATATAAGTCCAGTCTACAAAAAAAGTATAGATTTGATAGATTTTTTTATTTTATAGATTTTTTTTGTCATGATTAGAGTAAATCAAGTGTGTAACTGGGATGAACAAGTTGGATTGATGTAAAAAAAATCATACATTTTAATTTTATTTGTATGTAATGAAAATGCCCTGGGGGGGATTTTTTTTTTTTTTTTGCTGTTCACTGTCCAAAACAAAATGTCAAACACTATATGGATATATACTTTATGGCGACCAAAGTATTTGGACACCACAACTGTATGTGCTTAACAACTTCAAAACCGTTGCCATTCATGGAGGTTTAACTGTGTTACATGAGAATTTTAATGCATCTTGAATCTTGTAACTTAATACAAATTAGATTAGTTTTAGTGGTATCCCTAAGGGGCAGTTCCTATGTCATTTTTGGCCAATAGTTGCTGACAGGTGTCACCGCTACATAATGAACTCTCATTCTTCTTGAAACCTAATCTTGGTGTCCCCATAGAGAGACACCCTCATTTGCAGATACTCTGTTGTGCACCCTCCTCCACTTAAATTCCTCCATCAGCTTCCTAGATTAGACTAACAGTCTATCTAACACACGCCCACATGCCTGCACTAATCCCACATTCAAGTATTGAGGCAGCTTAAAAGTTCATACTCACAAAGGAGACAGCATTACAAGTATGAGCAACTTTGGGTACCACAAACAGCTTGGCAAGTATGAGGACATCGATGAAGATGAACTTCTGGCCTCCCTGACTAATGAAGAAATCCAGTACTGGGAGAACGAGACTCACAGATTGCTAGAGGTAGGGACTACACACAGAAATTGAGTGATATGCCAAACTTTGAGGCACTCGTTGCATTCCATTTTTTTTTTCTTGACACAAACACTTAGGCTTGCCACTGGAGTGGTACCCTTAAAAGGTACTAATATGCAGGTACAAAGGTGTACCTTTGTAGGGTACTGCCCAAGTGACAAGATAGTGTACCCCTATAAGTACTATTTAAGGTATGATTTGATAGTTTTATTTTATAGATTTTTTTTGTCATGATTAGAGTAAATCAAGTGTGTAACTGGGATGAACAAGTTGGATTGATGTAAAAAAAATCATACATTTTAATTTTATTTGTATGTAATGAAAATGCCCTGGGGGGGGTTTTTTTTTTTTTTTTTGCTGTTCACTGTCCAAAACAAAATGTCAAACACTATATGGATATATACTTTATGGCGACCAAAGTATTTGGACACCACAACTGTATGTGCTTAACAACTTCAAAACCGTTGCCATTCATGGAGGTTTAACTGTGTTACATGAGAATTTTAATGCATCTTGAATCTTGTAACTTAATACAAATTAGATTAGTTTTAGTGGTATCCCTAAGGGGCAGTTCCTATGTCATTTTTGGCCAATAGTTGCTGACAGGTGTCACCGCTACATAATGAACTCTCATTCTTCTTGAAACCTAATCTTGGTGTCCCCATAGAGAGACACCCTCATTTGCAGATACTCTGTTGTGCACCCTCCTCCACTTAAATTCCTCCATCAGCTTCCTAGATTAGACTAACAGTCTATCTAACACACGCCCACATGCCTGCACTAATCCCACATTCAAGTATTGAGGCAGCTTAAAAGTTCATACTCACAAAGGAGACAGCATTACAAGTATGAGCAACTTTGGGTACCACAAACAGCTTGGCAAGTATGAGGACATCGATGAAGATGAACTTCTGGCCTCCCTGACTAATGAAGAAATCCAGTACTGGGAGAACGAGACTCACAGATTGCTAGAGGTAGGGACTACACACAGAAATTGAGTGATATGCCAAACTTTGAGGCACTCGTTGCATTCCATTTTTTTTTTCTTGACACAAACACTTAGGCTTGCCACTGGAGTGGTACCCTTAAAAGGTACTAATATGCAGGTACAAAGGTGTACCTTTGTAGGGTACTGCCCAAGTGACAAGATAGTGTACCCCTATAAGTACTATTTAAGGTATTCTGAAAGTGTAGGCATATCCACAAAGAATTTATTTGTGTGGGGGTCAGGTTAGGCTTTTTTTTTGGTAAACCAATAAGTCCCAATCTTTGGGAGGTCTCCACAAGGAGGCTCCCAGCTTGGGGACAAGGTGGTCTCCAGCTTCATTAAGGGATTAAAAATGTCTTTAAATTTAGAATGAAGTCTAAAGTGTCTGTGAGTAGTCCATTTGAGGCAGGCGTGCCCAATACTCCCTTGTGGAAGGTCACCACCTTGCGGAGTTTAGCTTCAACCTTCTCCAACACACCTGCCTATAGGTTTCTAGTACTCCTGAAGCCATTGATTACCTTGTTCAGGTGTATTTAATTAAGACTGGAGCTAAACTATACAGAAAGTTGGTCTTTAATGCTGTGTTCCATTTACCTCGGATGTCGGAGCTGGGCATGACATTACACCCAAGTGGACCGTGTTCCAGTAGAGAAGTCAGAAAATCAAGATGGACACATCCATTGTTAGCAATACCAGTCGATTAAAAACACAAAAAAGTGGTATTTTGCACAGATAACACCATAGTATCATGTTCACAAATAGAGGTTGGATAGTAGCCTACTGTGTGCACCGCTTTATTGAGTTTATTGAGACCTAGATAAACATTGGTGCTAATAAACAATATATTACTACTATTTCTCTTCTGTTGATGTACTGAGCAGCCATATTGGATCCTGAAGTTATAGTTGTTGCGATTCCTTCGAGATTCCGAGTCGGGACCCTAACTTGGGAGGGTGTTCCAGTTAAAAGTGTCTTCTGGGAACTCAGAATTTCCAACTTCACCATGAGGATTGGGCGTCCCTGATTTAAGGGTACAATTAAGGGAGGGCCACTATCCTGAAGAGTTTATCTCAACCCTGAGTTATGCATAGTTATGGTTAGCTTAGTTTAGCTTAGTTTTAAATAAAATAACACTATATTAAATAAAAATTCAGTTTCTTCAAAGAGAGTACCGAAGACTGTAACTGAAACATTGCTTCCACGGAACATAGTTATTGCTCTGCTGGTGTCTCAGCTGGTGATATCTTTCTTAATTAAGCATCATTGTTTGAGGTATGCCAGTGCTCAACCTTGTTTTCCTTTCTATGGTGACACACAGGACAGCATGGATGAGTGCCAGACAGATAAGAGCGAAGAGGAATGTGGCAGTGAAGAGCCTGAGGATAATGAAGAGGAGAGAGAGCAACAAAATTGGGGGCTCAGAACAGGGGGAGATGGGGAGAAAGAAGCTAGGTCAAGCAATTGGAATTTTGTGGATTTATCCAGATTAGATCGCAAGAGGAATGGCAATAGTGGTCAAAAACCTAAAGGCATTCATAAAGGTGCCCTTCATCACCAAGTTACACCAGAGAGGCCAAGTGGTAACCCCACTGATATTGTTAAGACCTTGGAAAACATCTTGAGTAATGACACCTCCTTGAATAAAGTCAACCTCAACAACATTGAGAACATATCCCAAGAGGTTTTGGTGAGTTTTGCTGATGCATTAATCTCCAACACTCACGTTGAGGTTTTCAGCCTTGCCAACACCCATGCGGATGACCAAGTAGCTTTTGCTTTGGCCAAAATGCTGAAGAAGAACTGCAGCATCACCAACCTTAATGTTGAGTCCAACTTCATTTCAGGCAAAGGTATCCTGGCTTTGATTGGGTCAGTTCAGTACAACACAACACTGGTGGAGCTCCGATTCCACAACCAGCGGCACATCTGTGGAGGCCAAGTGGAGATGGAAATGGTGAAATTGCTAAGGGACAACACCACCCTGTTGAAACTGGGATACCACTTTGACTTACCTGGCCCAAGGATGAGCGCAACCGGTATTTTAACCCGCAACCAGGACCGCCAGAAGCAAATGCGGCTGCAACAAAGGAGAGAACAAGACAATCTAGAAAGAAGTGAGGAACAATCCAAGACATGGGATACTGTGGACAATACGCAGTCTCTTCAGTTCCAGATTTCAACAAACAAAGATGCTACACAAGGGAAGCAGCACTTGGTCTCTTCTCATTTACCAAAGCATCCTCACAGTCAACCAGAACTTGTGAATAACGTGCCAACTAGAAAAATAGCTGAAATGGTCAAGCAACAAAAAGAAACCGCAATGGATAGCACTGTTCGAAACCAGACTAATGCAAATAAAGGACTCAAAATTACAGGGGATAAACATAGCAAGAGCATTTTTCAAAATGAAAAACCAGTACCTTTGAGAAGAAAAGATGAAAGAAAGAGTCTGGGAGGCACCCAGGGGTCAACGCGTGATGATCTGTTGGCAGCTATTCGTAGAAGCAGCATTGGTACACTACGAAGGGTAAGACATTTAGCATTTGTCCAGGACATGACGAAGTAGGTAAGCCTTTAAACACCGTGCTCAAATTTGTAATTCACTCAATATTACTGGACAGGATAGGAACTTCCAAATTAAGGGTTTGGTAAACACCAACCCTGTCAAATCAGGTCTCTTGGGGACTGATTGTAAGACTTTAAGCAATAATTACCTTTTTATACCAAGAATTGAATTATTCGTTCAGTGGTTGTCTTGATTGAGATCATTTAAATTACCATGAAATCATTAGTCAGAGAGTGGAAAACACTTCTATCCACACATAAATAGCGGTTTCTTCTTTTTCTTGCAGGTCACCAATAATCATCGTTCCTGAGGTATAAGACGGCTCATATAAAATTAATCTGTAAAACAAATAACACGAATGAAAACTTTTGTTCTCTTAACTGGCATTTGATATGAACAACGTTAAATGTTTTTCGTAACTTCTTTCCACCAACAAAATATTTTGCTCACTAAGTAGAGTTTGAACCATGGCCGTAACCAGGGTTTGAAAATAAGTGAGGTCTGGGGTGGGAAAGAATTTTTAAAAATTGTGCTTTAATAACCCCTACAAACACAACTCATATACGCTAAACACTTGTTTGTCAAAGATGTTTTCTGTTTTGGAGGAATGAACATTAAATCATACCATATTTACTGCATCAAAATTTGTTAATACTTTATAAGTTAGGGGTGGATAACTTTATCAGTTGTTTATTATTTATGCAACAATACATATTACTGTTATAGTTTTCATTAATAACCATTGCTATATAGATAACTGTCTAGTTCTCTTATGAATTTTTTTTTAGCATGACTTTGTGAAAATTTAACTACTATACTGAATGAAATAGCATAGACTTCTTCATGGCCAGTGTTTGCATATTTAATTTCATTCTGTAACCTACTTGTTCTACAGATCTGTGTACTAGTGTTAAATGCTACCGTTCTAGATAGTGTTGATAAGGTTTCTGACAGATAATACCATGGTTTTGTGCGTTTGCCTTAGCGAATGTGGTATCCTGTCAGCAATAATCTGTCTGTGGGCTTTTTTAATTACTGTCAGTTTAAGCGCCAGCGATCAGTGTTGCCAGATATTGATAATGAAAACAAATAAAAAACAAAAAATTAACCGAAATTAGTTCAAATATGATATCGCTGACCCTAAAACTGCAACTTCCCACTTTATTAACTTTCTAAAGTGTCAAATTAAGTGGAAAAGACAAGTCCAAAGATGCTTATAATAGCTGGATCTTAACAGTGTAAGTTCATTTTCCCAGTTTGACCACTGCACGTCTTGTGGGTTTTATTTTGCTTAAAGGGGTCCTATTATGCTTTTTCACTTTTTTAATTTTAGTCAGTGTGAAGTGTGTTGTATTTGAATTTGAAAGATGTGGCGCGACGCGACGCTGCGCTTCTCGTCTGGTGTGCGACTGTCTGAAACGCTGTTTTTTTCACCTCCGTGCCCAAACGTCTTTGTTTGTGCTTCCGAAAACGGATGATGTCAGGAAACAGTGGTTGCAATTTATTTTTTAACTCCGTTCCTGAGCATTATAACCCCAATTTGCTATTGTGTGCTGCGCATTTTACTGAGGACAGCTTCCACAACATGAGGGAGTAAAGTGCCTGCCGGCACAAAAATAATGCGTTTTTCGAACCACCAAGCATGAGAGCATAGTTCTAGTACACTCCCAAAACAAAATCAAGACTTTGTAAAAGAGCATAATAGGACCCCTTTAAGAAAAAAATATATTGGGTGTAACGGTGGTTGGGCACCCACCATCAGAAACATAAATCAGCGCATATGACTCATATCATATGAGAAAGATCAAATCCAAAAAGAATATAGCCGATTTACTTTAAAAGCTGATTGCCATAATTCAGACTCCAATGTATCTGTCATGCAACTAGTTGAGGTTCATCCAGTAATTTTAGACATCAAAGATGTACAGGTACACAAGAAGTATTTATACAAGTTGGAAAAGCTAGAAGTTAAAATATACATGCATTGCAGAAATGTAGGTTCCTAAAAAGAAAAGCACCATATCTCAGGTTTGTAAATATTACCATTTATTTAAGTATAGAATTTAGTGTTTTCAGTCCACATTCCAACCCTCTTGTAAGATTTGATGTCAATTATACAATTTTTTCAGCACTATCCTTACAGGACAAGGACAGCATATTCAGTTCAGGCAGACAATACTGTTAAACCAGCATTAATTGTGTTTGTTGCACAAAGGTTTGTTGTTTTCCATTAATGTAGTTGTCGGTCAAGGATTGACCTGTAAAAGCTTCTAACAAATGGAAGTTTAAATTGTTTTTTTTGTGAAGTGCTTTTTTTATTTTCTTGATATGACTGAAATTCTATATTTGTGAACTGATGGTTTTTCACATTCAGGAGCAAGCTGCACTCACGACTTTGCCGGTTTGAATCTACTGTATGTTATTTTCGTGTTAATAAAGTGAAATCAAAACCTCAGAACGGTCTACTTTGTGACGTGCAATGTAGTGTGACGCTGATCGTGATTACCACAGAAATCATATTCAAAGTGTTCAGCCAATGTGTTCTCATCCTGCAGTGAATTTCCTTTTGTTATTCGTGCAAAAATATATATAGCCTCAATATATCAGCCTGGTGTACATTTACAAGGGAAACAATACAGGGCACATACATATTCTGATAGGAGAACCTCTTACCAAATCTAAGAATGCGAAACTAGGATTTGAATAAGAAAATCGAAGGTACAGAAAAGTAGGGTATGAAAATAGTGTTATCTAAATCATTAATCAACAATTAATAAGGACATCGAGCGTCCCGTCCATCTCCCTTTCCCCACTCACAGGGGAACAAAAACATTCAGGTCAACAAATCATGAATCCTGGCATAAAACTTCACATGGTTATTCCAGGAGATTATTTTACAGAGGATAAATGACAGTACTTTACAGATTACATGAGGTATTGCACAGAATATAAAAAAACAAAAAAAAAAAGCAAAAAGGCAACAAAAATATACAGCGATTTGGAAAAGAAAAATCATACACAGAATGAGTGTAAAATTAGGGGAAGTGACAATTTAGTATAATTTACTCTACTGGTTGGGGTTAGTGTTGCGGGATTAATCATCCCATTCGTCATCATCCTCAAAGTCTTCATCATCCTCATCATCCTCATCTTCATCTAAGGACCCAAAAAAGATGCATAACCACCGTAAATAACTCATTACTTACTGACAATGGCTTTCATGCTCAATCTCAAATGAACCAGAGGATATTAGAGTATGAAAAGTGACCTCAACACATCAGCGTTTATCTGCGTCAGCAAACGCTAAAAATGCATTGATTTAAATGGGGATGTTGTGTCTTCGGAATGAAGAGGAAAAAGTCATGTTATCTGTCATGTTACCAAAATAATCTTTTAGTTGGACTTGACATGTTACATCTTTAAAACATAATGTCAGTGAGTAGTAATCTAACTGGATCCACATTGGTTAAAGTGAGAAAAAAATTTTTTTGCAGCTATGAGTGGTCTGTTTTGAAGAAACTTTTGAGAGAGTGAAACAAGCACTTACCTGAGGAGTGGATGGCTTTGCTCCTCTTTTGCATCACCTCCATCAGAGCTCCAACAATGCCTGCTGACTGAGCAGGGGTGGGTGGTCCTGAGTCATTATCTGATACCTGAACAATCAAGAATAAAGCAATCAGACAACCATAACAAACATCGGTTCATAGAGCATGCTACAATAATTTATATTATATATTATGAAAGCATTTGGGGACTTACACTACTGTTCCAAAGTGTTTTTTTTTCTTTTTCCATTCAGCAAGGATTAAATTGATCAAAAGTGATAGTAATTTATATTTTTATATATATATATATATATATATAATACTGTAAACCTTTATATCACAAAATATGTCTATTTCAATTAAATGCTGCTCTTTTGAACTTTCTATTTATCAAAGAATCTTAAAAATATGTATCATGGTTTCCACAAAAATATTACGCAGCACA